TGCGGAGATAATAACATGCGCAAAAACAAGACAGAGCAAAACCAAGCAACAAAATAAAACCAAACAACACCAACAAGTCAAGGACAAAAAACAAACAAAACACAACAACAAGAAAGAAAAGCTTGTAGTTAGTTCAAGGACTGTTTGTTGGCCATTAGGAGTGTTTTCTAGTTGAGTCTGTTGGGTCACCAAGCCCTGGCCCCAGAGTCTATTTTTGGTATTCCCTGGGGACTTAGTTGCTCTGTTCCCCTTGCTGTTCTGTTCCAAGTCCTTAGTGTTTTGCCTTGGTGCGGTGGGATCAGATAGGGCGAAATTCCCGCACTGTGTCTCCAGTGTTATCCCCTGTAGGGCTATGGGTCAGTAAGGGTTGTCGTGTCTCACAGTGGGGCTGGCCATGTGGTCTTCTCTGTGGATTGGCTGCTCTGAGCAGGAATATCGTCCTCAAGGCTTGGTGGGCCGGGATGTGCTCCACTCGTGTAATTTTTTAATTGTGCAAAGATAAACACAACAAAACATTCTCCAATTCCACAACTTCTACATGTATAATTTAGTGCCATTGATTATAAGCTTCATGTTGTACAATCATTATTGATAACCTTTTACAAATTATTCCACCACCATTAGCATAAACTCAATGCCCCCTAAACAAAAACTCTTCCTTCTTCACCCACGGTAACCATTGGTCAACTAGCTTCTTTTAAAAGTTTTTTAGTAGTTTTCTCAATATAATATTCACATACACTTCCATTGTTAAGTCATTTTTTTAAAAAGTTCTATATATGTCATCACAGTCAGTTCTAATATGCCCTCTTGCATTCATTGGTTGCTCTCCATTTCCTGTCACCCGCCCTCCCTTCCCAATAAACCATTGAATCTATTCCTGTCTCTATGCATCCACTCCTTCTGTGCTTCATAAACTGGGGAACCTCACAGAAATAAAAAACAAAACCAAAATGAAATAAAAAGAAGAAAAAATGTAATGATATAATGATAAAAATAAAGAGTAAGAAAGAAAAGACCACCAACATTATTTTAGAAATTTCTGTTTTGGAACAAGCGAGAACTATGTGAGCCTAGAGCAAATTCAGGTTGGGTCAAGAGGGAGGTCAAGTGACCAAGTATCATATCAGACCATGATTCAATCCACCGTCATCAAGTTCACAATCTCTCTGATAGTAAAGCTGTTCCAGTCCCTCACCTGTGGTTAAAGGGGGTCTGTCAGATGCTTAATCTGACTCGATAGTGTGCAGTTGGATTTGGGGCTCCCACTGTCCTCCATAGCCTTAGACAAATTGGGTATTCACAATTTGAGCTCTGATAATTTTTTCCCTGTGTCATATTTGGACTTTGTTATCATCATCTTTGGATCACACAGGCTGGTGTGCTTCTTCCATGTGGACTTAGTTGATGCCTCACTTAGATGACTGCTTGTTTGAATACAAGCCTGTAAGACTCCAGACACTATTTCAATTGATAGCCAGGCGCCATCTGCTTTCTTCATCACAGTTTGCTGTAGCACCCTTATTGTCAGTGATCTCTTCATGAAGGCGAGTATTGAGCAGGGCTATGTTACAAAAATTAACTGTTCTTGGATTGGGGTTAGAATTACGCGGGAGCCCACAATCCATCTGCTTGTCCACAGGTTTGGCTGTCACATTATAATCAAAAGCCCAAACCAACAAGAACAACGACAAAAACAAACACACACACACACCCAAAAAAACTAACAACAATCAAGAGACAAAAAAGGAAAACATTGGCAATCATCCCCCTGGGGTATAAGACAATTGCATTAATAACATCAATAATTTATCCAATGGCATAAAATTCAAGGTACTGTTGATATGAGGAGTTTATGCGAGTACAGTCTAACTGCAAGCTGCAATCTATGAGTCGTGGCATTGTACCAATTAACTTTTTTTTAATAGATTTTTGAGTTTTATTGAAATCTCACATGAACAAGAAATTGGAAATACAATCACATCAAAGAACAAATTGTCACGGCTTTGACATTTAAGCTAAACAAATTTTGAAGGGCAGTTTTCAAAAAGGTGTGAAGTTATAACAATTTAAAAACACAGTTAACCTACTTCTAGGAATGCAAAACATACAATCATAGGTTATTTTCAATACAAGAAAACATAAATTTGTTTGCTTTCATTTCTTAAAACTACTAAGACAAAGCACTAGCTTGTATTTTTATTTAGAGCATACTCCATACGCCTATGTAATCTATCCCAAATTAAAAAAAAAATCAAACTGTTCAAAGCCAACAGTTCTGCAAAATCATGATTTAACAGTGTGCCCAGCTTGTTTTGAAGCTAAAATGAAGCCTGAAACGATAAAGGCATTGTAACCCCCAGGATAAGGGAACTCTGCAAGCCCAATAATGTCCAAGAGCATTTATGAGAAGAGGAAAAATAAAAAGACTTGAGTATATATACACAATAGTGAATCTTTAGCCCAATACAAATGGCAGCAAATTGCTACTTAAAGATGAAACAGTTAAGCCAATTTTTTTTTGAAGAATGTAGATCTAGAGCCAATCGTATCTTGCCAGTATCATTTTCATGCCCTCACTTGTCTATTTCCACTGTTGCCCATAAGTATCCTGATAAAATTCTTGGTTGTCATTATTGTAACCATAGTTACCAGAATAGTCACCACCTTGCTGAAGCGGCTGCTGAGCAATGGGTTGGGAACCCCAGTTCTGTTGGTTGTTGGTCTGACGTCGCTTGGAATCAGGTTGGTTGTACCCATCTGCCTTTCTCTTGCCTCCTACATTGCCCCCACGATTGCCCCGAGCTCCACAGGAACCACCGCCTCTCTGCTGCTGTGCAGGACCCCCTCTGCCACCCCTAGAGCCTCTTGGTGGTCCCAAAGGTGCCCCCCTCTGTGAATAGCCAGCTCTACCTCTTGGAGGTGGTGCTCCCCGCCCTCTTGGTGGTGGTGGAGCACCTCGCCCTCCCCTTCCTCCTCCTCTTCCTCTTACTGCATAGCCATCATCATAGCCGTAGTAGGGATCTTCATAGCCTCCACGATAGTCGTGATAATCATAACCATAATAATCATCATATGCCAGAAGAAGCCAGCTCCTAGCACAATCACTACGGGTTTGGTAGGCGCAATTGTACAGCGATAATAAGTAAATGTTATAGTAAAGTTATAGAGAGCATGAGAGATAAAAGAGATATATAGAAATAAATAGAGTCAGACACATTTCATGGTAGCATGCTCACCTCAGCCCCGCTTGGTAATCCACGTGGAGGGAGAGAGAGTGAACTTTAATGCTCCCCAAGCTTTTATACTCTCTGGGGACATTGGGGACGTGCAAGCCCCCACATTACAGGTGAAGACATAGGTCACAGGAAAGGGTTGTGCTACAGGTATTACCGTGGATGGGAGGGGGTGATCTAGGGACATATGCACTACAGAAGGAGGAGGGATTGGGGGTGTACATGCGGCAAGATAGGCGGATCCTAGATTTCTGGTAACAGCTTAACTTGATTTTGGGTCTCCATAGGAACCATTATCAGTTGGGTGCAAACTCCGCCCACAAGAACCAAACTAATGGCCTTAGGCTCCAGAGAGAGGTAACCCATTGTCTCTAGCATCAGGGAGCAGGCCCCCCCCAGTGGTGGGATGAGACAGCAGTCTGGCAGCAAGTATCTGACTTCCCCCCACAATCATAGTAATCTTCATAGCCATAGTAATCTGGAGGGTAGCCATATCCACCTCTCCCCCCACCACGACCTCGACCTCTAATTGGAGGTGGCATGCGAGGAGGAGGGTGATAGTAATAATCTTCATATGCAGTGCTTCTGGAGGCCTGTCTAGCAGCTTGACGCTCTTTCCTTTTCTTGCCTGGTGGCTTGGCTAAGACTATTTCAATTTCTTCCCCTTCTATTTCTTTGCCATTCATTTCATCCATGGCCTTGACAGCTACTCCTCTGTCTTCAAAATGAACAAATGCATAATCTTTCAGTTTCTTCACTCTTTCAAGCTTTCCAAATTCAGAAAATGACTTCTCCGTATTTCTTCTGTAACAGTAGTAGCCAAGTTTCTCACAAATAAGACTTTTTCCTTAGCCATGACTTCCGGATCTGGTTCTTCCACACCGATTAACTTTGTAATTGATTGAGCTCTGTTTCCAGTTGCATCTGGGGGCTGATGCTAGGGGGAGATTGTCCTGTATCATGTCTTACAAGGGCAGATCCTTGCCTCTCAGATGAAAGCCTGCCATATGAATACAGATGGAGCACTGACGTACTAAATAGATGGTGTTTCTGGGCCCGCTTTCATCGAGGTCCAGCTATTTTGTTTTGATATGTGAACACATTGGATTCTCCGTTGAATGATTTCTTAAGTATGTATGCTTTTGCTGAGTGTGCTTCATTCACGTAACAAAAAATCGTTTTGTTTTACAGGCTCTGGAGCGTGATGTACTGGGTACAGATCTATCCTGAACTGCTCACTCACCATGAGGTCCAGGGAACAATACTGGTCTCTCTGTCCCTCAGCTGCAAAGGTTATACAATGAGCAGTGACAACAGAAACCCCCTAAGGGTGCTGTGAGCATTGAGTCAGTACATAAACACACTTGTCACATCCAACAACGTAGCCAGTTTTCCTTCTTTTTATTCCTCCTCCATGGTCATTAGTATCTTGATCGCCATGAGAAAAAATATGATACAGGCTGATGTTTACTTGCCACCAGTGACATTTGAGGTATCTTGTTCATTAGTCAAGGAGATGAAAAAACTGGAAGTAAAATGGAAATTTTGTTTCTTTTTTTAAATTTTTGTTCAAGGTCACGTCTTCCATGAGATATCTGGATTAATTAACCTCATAAGCCGTTCAGTACTTCTTTCCATCTCCTAGCTCTTTGTATAATGCCTAGGGTCTTAAAAGCTTGCAAGCAGTCATTTAAGGCAGGAGAATAGGTTTCTATTTGCCTTGAGCAATAGAAGAAAGGGAGTCCAGAAAAGGAGGAGATATGGAATGTCTGACGTAGCCCTGAGGTGGGAGCGACTGAATGTTGCCTTGCTACCACATGGTACCTAAGGGGTCTTTAGAACCCTGATCAAAAGGAAGCACGAGAAGGACAGCATTTCACATTCTCATGGACTGCAGACCTTCTTGGGTAACCGGCTGAAAGGAATCCTTGAAGCCATTACCCTAAGGTCATCTTTAGAATTTAAAGCAAAAGTTTCCCCTGAAGCCTGCTTAAAACCAAATGATAGGTTGACTTAAATAGTAAAAACACAACACCAAAAAACCTGTCTGCAGCATGGTGCTCTTCCAAGAACTATCTCAGCGGCGTCAAAATGGCAGCAGCCGCTGGAAAGAATGATAGAAAACGTAGGGCACCGTAAGTCCATGCTAATGCAGGAAGATCAACTCAGAAATAGGGGCGAGGATGGAGGGAAGGTGGGGTAGAAAGGAGGAACCGATTACAAGGATCTACATATAACCTGCCTCCCTGGGGGACGAACAACAGAAAAGTGGGTGAAAGGAGATGTCAGACAATGCAAGACATGACAAAACTATAATAATTTATAAATTATCAAGGGTTCACAGGGGGAGGGGGTGCCAGGGAGGGTGGGGAAGAATGAGGAGCAGATACCAAGGGCTCAAGTAAAAAGCAAATGTCCCGAGAATGATAATGGGGGCTCGTACAACTCTTATCACAATCCATACATACATCCATTGTGTCAAGCACATTTGTACATTCTTTGCCCTCATCATTCTCAAAAAGATCTGCTCTCTACTCAAGCCACTGGCATCAGCTCATTTTCCCCTCCCTCCCCGGCCCCCCTCCCCCATGAACCCTCGATAATCTATAAATCATTATTTTGTCATATCTTGCACTATCCGACGTCTCCCCTCACCCACCTCTCTGGAAATTTTCATACATCAAAATAAAAGTACATATACACATGTCTCAATAGAAATATGGATATCAGAATGTCATGCCAAAGAAAACATCACCATAGCTTATCCACCAGTGGTAAGTTCTGGGGTAGTGATTTTATTTCCTTGTCTGTGTTGTCTCTTCTTCACTGCAAAACAAAAAACAAAAAAACAAAACAACAACTTAGGGCCTTATAACTAGAAAGACTACAACATGGTTAAGAAGCACACATCTTGTTCGTCCTACCTAGTTAGTTAGGCCTTCCAAAGTCACTCAGCTTTAGAAAGGGGACCATCCCTGTGGGACATGAAGGGATATCCTTCCACAGTCTAACCTGGCCTATGCTCCCACACTGGTTATCGTTCTCTTTTAAGTTTACGTAAATTAAACTGAAAACAAAACTCAACAATCCCCAAACCGTTTATTTCCATCTGTTTCACTGTGCTTGTGCCCTGTTTAAGTAAGGCTGAGGGGCTTCTCATATGGGCTGGGGGATCACATCCCGGCTAGATGTATAGGCCAGGGAGCCACATGCTTTGTTCGAATCTAGGTGTTGACACTTGCTAGCCCTGACTTCTGTGCTTCAGTTATTTTGTCTCTAAAGTGGGGCTCAATGGTACCTTCTCATCCTTCTCATGTGCTGTGGGAGGAATCAATGAGTAAGTATAGGTTTGGCACACACAACCATGCTGGACACAGAGGGGAAAAAAACTAAAAACCTCACTGACATGAATTCATTGTGACCCATTGTTAGGACAGGGTAGAACTGCCCCTGTGGGTTTATGAGACGGTGGCTCTTTATGGGAGTAGAAAGATTGTCCTCTTCCAGCCGAGCAGCTGGTGGTTTCAACTGCTGACCTTGTGGTTAGCAGCCCAGCCCTTAAGCACTACAGCAACAGGGGCGCCATGGACAAAGAGTGATACATACTAACCATTACTATCATTTCCTGTTCTGAATCCCCCAGTAGTATTTCTACTGTGATTATAATTATTGTGTGGGGTTATATAGTTTGGAACAGATAAACTTTCAAAATATGATATATTTTTTAATCATTTTATTGGGAGCTCATACAACTCTTTTTTTTTTTAAACATTTTATTAGGGGCTCATACAACTGTTATCGCAATCCATACATACATTAATTGTGTAAAGCACATTTGTACATCATTTTCAAAACATTTTCTCTCCACTTAAACCCCCGACATTAGGTCCTCATTTTTCCCCTCCCTC